ATTTTATAAAAATTCCACCAGTTTTTTTTTTTTTAAGAGACTGGGTCTTGCTCTGTCACTCAGGGTAGAGTGCAATGGCACAAGCATAGCTTTCTGTAGCCTCGAACTCCTGTGCTCAAGCGATCCTCCTGCCTCAGCCTCCCAAAATGCTGGGATTATAGGCATGAGCCACTGAGCCCAGCCTTATCTGATTTTTTAAATGTGGCTACTAGCAAAGGTCAGATTACATATGTGGATCACATTGTTTCTCTACTGAACGGCGCTGTGCTGTAGAAGAGGCCCGTGGCCCCTGCACCAGGGAGGAAGCTCCCGGGGGCCAGGCAGCGTCTCCCTCCCTTGCTCTGCAGCAAGCCTCCTGACTGGCCCTGTGGAGGTGGGTGAGTGCCAGGCTGGCTTCAGAGAGGCTCCCAGGGGCTCAGACCAAGGTTGCTCCCCATGGCGTGAGATCCTGAATAAATGCATGGCCTTGTTAAGGCACGTGTTCTCACGGGGGATCCTGCATGTTTCTTGGCTCTGATCATCAAATTGGGAATCAGATGAGGAAGCTTTCTCTTTTACAGATTCCCCTCTCTAAGTAGCTCTAAGAATGTTAACGCCAGTTCAAATAATGACAAAGCTACTACTTTCTGGACGCCGAGCATTTGCTAGCAGCTGTGCTTATTCCTTATACCACCCTGTAGGGCAGCCATGAGCTCCAACTGACAGAAAAGGAAATAAGGCAGGAAGGTTAACTCCCCTTAGTTAGAAATGAGTAGAGCTTAGGTTTAAGTCTGTTATCCAACATGAGTTGACTTTTGTGAGAGGTAAAAGGTGTGAATCCCAGACTTAAACCTAAGATGTGAAACTGTTAGAATTTTAGAAGAAAATGTTGGAAAAACTCTTATAGACGTTGGCCTAGGCAAAGAATTTATGAAGAAGACCCCAAAGGCAATCACAACAACAACAAAAATAAATAAATGGGACCTGATCAAATTAAAAAGCTTCTGCACAGCCAAAGAAACTGTCACGGGAGCAAACAGACAACCTACAGAATGGGAGAAAATTTTCACATGCTATACATCCGATAAAGGGCTGATAACTAGAATCTATTTAGAATTCAGGAAAATCAGCAAGAAAAAAATCAAACAACCCTATCAAAAAGTGGACAAAGGACATGAACAGAAACTTCTCAAAAGAAGACAGAATAATGGCCAAGAAACATGAAAATATGCTCAACATCTCTAATCATCAGGGAAACAAACGCAAATCAAAACCACAATGAGATATCACTTATCTCCAGTGAGAATGGCCTTTATCAAAAAGTCCCAAAACAATAAATGTTGGCGTGGATGCGGAGAGATAGGAACACTCATACGCTGCTGGTGGGACTGCAAACTAGTGCAATCTCTGTGGAAAGCAATATGGAGATACCTTAAAGAGATACAAGTAGGTCTACCATTTGATCCAGCAATCCCTTTACTGGGCATCTACCCAAAAGAACAAATGATACTGTATAAGAAAGACACCTGCACTCGCATGTTTATAGCAGCACAATTCACAATTGCAAAGATGTGGGAACAACCCAAGTGCCCATTAATACATGAGTGGATTAATAAAATGTGGTATATGTATACCATGGAGTTCTACTCAGCTATAAGAAATAATGGTGATATAGCACCTCTTGTATTTTCCTGGATAGAGCTGGCACCCATTCCACTAAGTGAAGTATCCCAAGAATGGAAAAACAAACACCACACGTTCTCATCATCAGATTGGTTTCACTGATCAACACCTAAGTGCACATATAGGAATAACATTCATCGAGCATTGGGCAGATGGGAGGGGGAAGGAGGGGATGGGCATATACACACATAATGAGTGCGATGCGCACCGTCTGGGGGATGGACATGCTTGAATCTCTGACTGGGGTTGAGGAGGGGCAAGGGCAATGTAACCTAAACATTTGTACCCCCATAATATGCAGAAATAAAAAAATAAAAACCTTAAAAAAAAAAAGAAATGAGTAGAGCTAAAATTCAATCCAAGACCATTTGCCTTTCTTTCCATTGTACAACACTGTCCCTAAATCTGACCACTAAGGGGTTAAAAGGCTCCACATAGAAATTACACTCTTGATTCCAGGACCTCTGCTCTTTCCAAGTAAAAAGCACAGCACTGAGTTGGAAGGCGGGCAGGTGGGCTGCAGGGTTCCCTTTGTAAAGGTTTGGGCTAACCTGGCACAGTCAACAAGTATCCACAACAGAAGGGACCGGAGTGGATCCTTCCAGGCCTGTGGGCCTTGGGGTGGCCCCAAACCAGCCTCTGATGCAGAAGCGGAATGTGCACAGGGTCTGATAATGCTTCAGCTGCAGAGGCTGCAGCCTTTAGGCCATTCTCTATGTCCTGGGGTTAGAAGACATAAACTATCTTAAAATTTTATGTCTTAATTTTAATTATATCTTAATTTTAATTTGGGGGCCTGAATTTCTCCAAATTAAAGCCAAAGGGGAGGGGGCAGAGTTGAGAGCCTTCGCCCTCTGTCATTCCTCTATATCTCTCCTGCCATATGTCCTTTCTCCTGCCCCAAGTACCATGACCTACTAAAAATGTTCCCGCTTGGTTGAGACATCAGACCTAACTTCCTGAACAATGGGAATTGAAGAAAACGTTTTCATATTTTCTAGGTTTTTTATACCTCCCCTACATTCCTAACTCACCCCAGTCCTCCCTTAACGTGGATTATAGAAAATAAGAGCGAATTTGGTGGCTGGAGAGGCCATCAAATTCAAACACTTTACTCTGCAGAAACAGATGTCCAGAGGTCAAAAGCCACATTGCTGACTGGCACAAGTTAGGACCAGGACCTTGTACCCTGACTCATAACTCAGCACTCTTTCCACTTCCCCAGCTCCAAACAGGAAATCAGAAAAGGGGGCAGGGTAGTTTTTTATTTGTAGGCCTCAACTCAAAGTTTGGGCATTGACAAGTGGATAAGCAGGGGAAAGCAGGCACCAAAATGGCAGAGATGAGGTCATCCCCAGACTCTGGCCAGGGGCCACTTCCATCTGAAATGCTCCAGCCACTGGTGCTTGAAGGTCATTAGAATGAGTGAGGGACTAAGTTAAAGAATTCAGGGTAAGCATCCAAACCATGCAAACTTTGCTCTGTGAAACAACCTGCCTGCCCTTCCGTGGTATGGGGAAATAGGGAAAAAGGGCAAAGAGTGGCCATTGGCCCAGGTGCACCTCACCCCCTTCTGGAATCTTCCCTGACTACCTTAGTCCTCTATCCATGGGCCTCACACACAGCATCCCCTGAAAGCCAGGTTGGGAGGACAGTCTTCTGAAAGACAAAGAAGCACCCTCTGAACCCCTGGTTTACAAGCACTTAGAAAGGCCTAGAAGGGCCACGGGCACCTGGTCTTACTGCTGAGGGGCTGACAGACCCCCACGTCCTTGCAGACATCAAACTTTGAGTGCCAGCCAGGGCCTGACCTGGAAATGTTCTCGCCGATGGTGTGGCTTCAGCGTGATAGGGGAATACACTGGTGGCAAAAAACCAGGTTCACCTATGGTCAAATGTTTCTCCTGGAAGTTTTAAAGTTAATAGTAAACTTTTTAAAGTACGGGGGGGAAAAAAGACAAAATAACCAGTGTTAATACTTTGGTGTGTTTATCTCCTGGATATTTTTCTGAGTTACACAATGTTTTATAATGGGCACATGTTGCTTCATAACGATGCTAATGTTGATAAGCGTTGCCCATCAACTCCCCAAATATCTCAGCATCTACCATGTGGCAGGAAGTTTTCTAGGTGCTGTTGAGGACAGGGCAAAGTCCATTTCCTCCTAGGGCTCCCGTGTGTGGGGGGAGGCAGATGCTGTAATGTGAGACAGTGATAAGCCCAGGAGCAAAAGGAGTGGGACGAGAGGATGGAGTGGGGTGAGAGGATGGGGTCAGAAAAGGGCTCTCTGAGGAGGGGACATCTGGGCAGAGGTCCTGCAGCCTGGCTGGAGGGAGAGCCAGAGGCCGGCGTGAGCACAGTGGGGTGAGCAGGTGCGGGGCAGTGGGAGAGGGGTCTGGAAGCCAGGCGGCTGATCAGGCAGGGCTCTCTAAGCCACTAGGAGGAGGCCTCGCAGCCTCAGTGTGAGGGAAGCCTTGGGAAGGCTCGTGCAGGAAAGCGAGGCCTAGTTTGACAAACACTGCCCCCTGGGATGCCTCCCTCGTTCACTGACAGCTCAGCTCCCACCAAGGCTCTCGCCTTCTGGGACTCACCTTCCACTGTCAACTCCACTGTCACCTGGCGGGCACCACTACCATTGGTGGCTTCACAGGTATACTTTCCCCTGTCCTCCTCACAGACGGCATGAATCACAAGGCTGAAAGTCCCCCGGATACCGCAATCCAGCAGGAAGCGGCCCCCGCTGGTGATGGGCTGCCCGTTTCTGTGCCATGTCACCTGGGGCTCTGGGTAACCTCGGACCTTTAAGAAAAAGAAGAAAGGGTAAGAGCCTGTATTTCATGAGTTCTCACTCTGTGCCAGGTATTGTCCTGAGTGCTTTACACGTGTTAACTCATTTAACCCTAACAACCCTCGAAGCTGATACTACTTTCATCCCCATTTGACAGATGTAGAAATTGAGGTATAAACAGTTTTGGTAATTTCCCAAGGTCTTGAAGGTAGAAACAGGTGGAATCAGGCATCCTGGCTCCAGAGCCCACTATACAAGTGACTCTTCAGCCTGGTTGTGTATTAGCATTTGGATGGCGGGGCTTTTAAAAATACCAGTGCCCAGGCCCCACCTTAGACCAGTGAAATCAGATTCCCAGGGGTGAGGACTGAGCATGGGGATTCTGACCAGGGCTTCTCACTCTAAAATGCGAATGAGTCACCTGGGGACCTTGTTAAAATGCATATTCTGCTTCTACAGGTCTGGCTGGGGCCTGAGATTCTGTAGCTGGGACAAGCTCGCAGATGCTGCTGGTCTCTGGAGCTGGGAGTAAGTTGCAAGGTGCTGGCTGTGCCCTGCCCAGTGGTAGCCACTCTCCACGCATAGCAATGGCGCTCTTGTAATGTGACTAGTGAGACTGAGTTACCCATCACACACTGGGGTTTGAAGATAGTACAAAAAAATGTAAAACAGCTCAGTTTAAAAATATTGATCACATGTTGAAAAGGCAGTATTTTTGATATGTTGGGTTAAATATATTAAGATTAATTTCATCTGTTTCTTTCTACTTTTTTTTTTAACGTGGCTACTAGCAAAGTTACAACCCCATACGCTATCCCTCTAGGTCACTCGCTCTGCCTTTCACTCATAATAGCAGCTGACATTTGCTGAGTGCTAAGTGTTTAGCACTTCAAAGTACTTGACTCATCTGAGCCTCATGGCAACTCTTTCCTGGAGAAGATTGCTCCCAAGAGAGGGGAAAATGCAGCCATAAAGTCTGAGAAAAGAATTCACTTTCAGTGTCAGAGAAAGAAAGTTCCCTAAGGGCCCTTGAACACCTGCAACTCAACAGGCCCCTCACAATGGATTCATCCTGGGAGGAGCAGGGCTCAGAGTGGCTCATGCACGCATAGCCGAGGACCCAGAACTGTGGAATTTTAGCACTGGACAATGCACAGAAGACATCATAGAAAACTCCTGAGAACACAGTTGTTTGTAATACAAAACAGTGGTAGCAATAGCTTCTATCCACGTATCCACTCCAAGACAAGAGAGAATGGATTTGGATGAAGCAAAACCAAAATTCACTGAATGACCCTGAAAATGTGTTTACAAAGAAAGCCTTCGATGACCTGTAGCAATAATAGTCCTCACAGCCCCTGCAAGGCCATCGATGATGTCGTATCGGTGCGTGGGGAGCACTGCAGTGCACACAACCTGGGCATCCAAATGTAGTCACTTTCCTAAGCGTGCTAAGGGAGGAAAGGGCTGTGTTCAAAGCCTCGGTGTTGTCTTTGGACTGTGCTCAGTGTCCTTCCCAGGTGTTCAGCCCCCAACCCATCCTAGACCGCTTTGCCTTTCCCTAGCAATAGCTGATTCCCAGTAACCAAGATGTAGATTTTCTTCCAAAGGAAGGAAGCCTCGAATGACAGTGAAAATTCCCAAAGTGAACAATCCCTCCTTGGTTATTCCATATTGTCACGCATTCAGTGCCAATTTGTGAATCTAACAAGACTGTCTTTCCAGTCAGGCTTCAGTGAAAAAGAAACAAAAATAAAACAAAACTCCAAATCAATATTACCCATCTTATTTACAATTTCTGGAAACAAACAAACAAAAAAAATAATCCCCTTCCTATCAAAATCTAAATTATACTCATGACAGAGGTTGAGTACCTGTGAGGAAATGCTTAGATTCCGAAGCTGATTGTCCAAAAGACATGTCAACAATACCGGAAGCCATTGTAGTCTCACCAAAACAAGCACATCAGCCCTTAGGTTGAAAATGTTGAAGGAGACACATCCATCCGGATATATGAGGTCTCACAGCTGTTATAACATGGAACAAAGTGCTAACAGTGGTTGTCTCTGAGTGGGTAAAATCGTGGGTCTCTCCTCTTTTTCTTTTTAGTTAACTATTAGTTTCTGATAGTTCTGCAAATAATGCACCTGGCCTTTGTAAAACAGAAAAAAATTAAATTAAAAAATATATTCCTTTTATAGTGTATGTCTATACGACGAATGTATAGCACATTCATTAATTTGTTGAGGCCCTCAAGGTGCTGAAATCTAGCAATGGAAATAAAAGAGCTATAAAATAAACACTACGCATGCTTGAAGGTGACACAGGTTATGCACCCATATAAAATCATGTCATGTTGTGACTCTGTCTTGGCACAAAGGTTCATGCAAAGGAATGCTGGGCAACGACGACCCTATGAAAGCCTTCTTCTCATTTTCAGAAAACTAAGGAAAGCCTTTCCTACAGACAGAAACCCCTTGGGAGTCTGGTCATACAGTGAATCTGCAAATCGTCATCACCTTTTCCTGCACCTGTTAGGCAGGGCTGGCCTGCCCTCTGGAAGATGGTCACACAGCCTCCTGTCAGCTCAGAGAAAGGGGGTGCTGAGCACTGCCACTGGGGGAGGTAAATCATTAACGCACCAGATGCGTCCTAGCATTCCCCTAGCAAGCACTCTGGTCCTCTGCAGCAGGCCAGCTCTGGTGGCCCATCAGGCCCTGAGGCATCAATGATTAACTGGGGACACTGAAAGCTTTCCAGACCTCAGGGACACCATCCTTCTCTTTCTCTTTTCTTTTCCCCTCACTTTTTACACATACGTCACACTTATTCTGAAATGCCCTGTTAAAATAAATATTCAGGGATTTTTTAAATATGCTAAAATTGGCATCACTTAAGAAAGTTGCAGTTTGCAAATGGTACTTTTATAGCACTTTGGATCTGAAGCAAAGGCAGGAATTTGTGTGACCTTGTTCAGTTCCAAGGTCTGAATGATTTGCAATGTCAATACTTGCTCTTCCAATATGGGAAAAACTTGTTCAACCACTACTTAACATTACCTAAAAATTATTCAACTTCAAGTAAACCCATTTTTACTGTCTTCCTACAATTCTGGGCTCCTGGGTGGGGAAGGAAGAGAAGCATCCTTGGGACACACGACAACAGTCCCGCCTTCCTGGGTGCCTTATCTGCTATCATCGCTGGCCTTCAGTCAGGAAGCCCCAGCTGGGATCTTCATCAAGAGCACAGTAAAAACTCACGGATACTTCCGTTTTCGGAGGGTTTCCACATACAGAATTTCATCTGATTCTTATAAGCGTGAGGGAGATGTCTTCGCCTGGGCTACCTGGAAGCAGAAGCTGAGACAGGGCTCGGGGAGCACTGTGTGTGAGCCCTCGCCCGCACTGGAGCAGCCTGAGGACGGGGGTCTGAGTGCGGCACCAACAGTGTTCGTAAGAGCTCTCAAAGCTAGTCCTATTATTAAGCCCGTATTGCTGAGAAAAGAGGCCTAGAGAAGTGGATGGTTTGCCAATGATCTCACATGGTAGATCAAGTGACAGATTTGAGACCACAATTTCAGTCTCTAAGTTGAGTGGCTGTCTCCATGCCTCGTGGTAAATTCATGTTTTTGGTGGGACGAGTTCTGCAGAACCCAAACTACTGAAAATATCTATCTCTAATGGACCATAAATCTCTTACAGGTTAAAGCAGTATCTGTTCCCCACTTTTGAAAATATCAGGTGGTTCATGAAAGATACAGTCACACCATAAGCAAGTCTCGGGTTGTTCCCTTGGACTCACAGTAGGACAGGACTGCTGCCAGGTGTATGCCCAGACACCCCAGGAGAGTCAGGGTGGTACAGAGAGGACAGTATATGAGCCAGGGCCTGAGCGCCTGGGCCTGGCTTGGCTTCCTAGCCTCTTTGGGTTGGAATTCCTTCCTTTCATTAAAGAGGAAATTGCTCTTGATAGCTCAGGTTCCTCCCATCTCTGAAGTATCATGGATTTAAATGGTGACCCACTTAGCTTCTTGAGAGAGATCCTTTCCTTTTCCTTCCATTCTCCTCTGGGTCCAACCCACAGCCTTTGTACTCTCTAATCCTGCATAGGGGAAACCAAGTGACCACAGGAGAAATGCTCAGGGACATGAATAGGCAGCCCTGAGTTTTCACCATAATGAGTTTTTGGAAATGTCCCCAAAGAGGGTCATTCTAAGGAGAACATCATATTTTAGCCACAGTAACCATATTTAATTGGAGGTTGTGTTCTTGAACAAAAGCCCAGGTTCAAATAAATCAAGGGCATAACCAACAACTTGTCATAAAAATAAAGATATAGTAACTATAACCCCTATAATAATTTTAAACAGTAAAACTGTGCTCCAGCTCCATAAAATGTCCTCGAAAACCTTTATGGCCTCAAAAGGCCTTTAAAAGGAATGGGGCTCATCCTGTGCTTGCTGACGGTGGAGGAGAGAGCCGGACGGCAGACGGGGACAGCTGCATTATGACTCCCTGTGTCACTTGTGAGACACTGTTCAGTGCTGTCTAGAGATTTACTTCATGCCTAAAAGTGAAACATTCTTAAGGGCACTAAGCCTTTGATTTTCTCTAACATGTGTCAAGGGCTTTCAACCCATTCCTAGCTGCCTAGCACAGGGTCTCTGTCCCCGCAGCCCCTCCAAGACTCGAAGCAACACATCTGCCCTCCCTTAGCTCAGCATGTAGCAGAAAGGGAGTGACTTTGCCGCTTTTGATGATCTGCTGCGTGTCTTTCACTCCTGGCGGGGCCTGGCCCAGTGCACGTAGTGCAAGTCCACAGGGCTGCAGGGCTTAGCTGCGGTGGCCCGACTGTCAGCAGCCAGGTCTGGGCAGGAAGAAGGGACTGAGGCTCTGCCCACGTCTGGGATGGAGGAAGAACAACAGGAGAGAAACGGGGGTTGAGCTGAGGCCAGGGAGAAGACAGAGTGCCCGGCAGGGTTCTGGGGATCGGGAGATGTTCAAAGAGGATA